CCCCAAAACCCCAAAACCCCAAAACCCCAAAACCCCAAAACCCCAAAACCCCTAGTTAATAATCAATTGTTGAAATTAGAATTTTGGAGAGATTGAGGAATAGTTTCAGGAAAGGTAGCAGTGTTTGATTTTATTGAAGAAGGAAGTAAGTTTGGAGGAATTATGAAGGTATTGAGTAAGATTTAATATTTTTTGAGTATAAATAAAGATTTTAGGAATGAATTTAAGCATAATTTCGAGTATTTTTAGGTAACTTTTTCCAAGGCAAATCTGACTTTTTGCCAAAATGAGATTTTTGAGTACTTTTTGATTGGAGTTTCATTATGTTATGCTTTGCTGTAGAAATCACAGATGAAGAAGCACTCTGAATCCTTTTATGTTGTGGTGCATTCAAAATTCATTCCCCATTTACAGGAATACCTCTGTCAAGATCTTTGCTCAAAGTAATAAGACTTTGCTTGCTTAGTCCCAGCATATTATTGGATACTGAAGTAGAGGGCCTCAGAGTCGAAGCCGGATCTCCCTGGAATTTAGCAGTCTCGAAAGCAATTGAATTATAAGTATCACGAGAACTACGTAGTGAAATCTCAGATATATTATTGTTTATGAACCCTAACTCTGATAATTTGAAATCATTTTGGTTCTAGAAGGTGTCACATAAAACTTACTGTTGTGAAATATTCGTCCCCTGCTTCATACGTGTTGAAGTAAACTGACTTTTTAGTTATACTCTTCTTACTTCCTTTCCTCTTTGGTTTCTGCAGAAACTCAGTACTCTCAGTAAGTTCATTAAAGTTAGAATGAGATTTAGAGCAGTTAACACCTGAACATCTGGAATGATTCCTTCTTTTTCTACCAAGTTTGGAGGTACTTGATCCTAAAGCTTCAAATCCATGGGGCTTACTGGCAGTCCGGCTTTTGCACATGCACATGCTCTTGCTCTTACTCCTAGTGGAACTTGCTCCGCTCTTGTTCCCAGAAGTCCTCTTCCTGATGATCTCTTGGAGGGTTTCGATCTGGGATTCTACAGATAGCCTGTTTGATGCTTACCATATTCCATGATTTTCCTTTGAAATTTCTGATTTTTGACCTTCTCTTTAGTGAGTTTTTTAAGAAGTTTATTTAATAATCTGGTCTTTCTGGTCATATTTTTCAAATTTTTCTAAGGACCCATGGGATATTCTAGAGATGAGCTTGAGACTTACAAATGTGGAGCTTCCCTGTTTGTCACACTCAATGGCTGCTTTGTAAAATATTGGCTCAAATATCCAGTTTTAGCTAGGCTTTTGGTCGCGCTTTGTAAGAAGTGGTTCTCTTTACCTAGTTAATTTAAGAATTTTCATAAGAAAATATTGAGAATTTATTCATTAATCTTTTAAAGTAACAGATATCTCATATTCTGTGTCTTGAAATGAGTTGAGATATGCTAATTATGTCACCAATTTTCAGGTTTACATACCTTTAGTACTGCTCTTCTTTCTTGAATTCATAATATTCGTATAAGATGACATTTGTACGTTAATTTTCAATAATTTTAAAATATTTGGGGTTTTGGGGTTTTGGGGTTTTGGGGTTTTGGGGTTTTGGGATTTTGGGGTTTTGGGG